ACCCCTGCAGGGTCAGCAGATTCTCTCCCCAGTATCTCACCTGCATTGTTTACTGAGAATTCCATCCCCTAGCACACAGAAGCATCAAGTTGACCACGTTGCCACGAGATAAGCAGAGACTGAAGAAGAAGTTGCAATGGAGTTTTCATCCTTTACAGCCTAACTCCATCATCTTCAGCTTAATCAGACCTCACCTTTTATATCACCTTCCTGAACACAGACATTGTTATCCCAGTGAGGACACCCAGAATTCTTCAGAATTTTGGAAGCAAGTATCTCACAGTTCTACCAATTATGGAGTATTAAAAAGAGGCTCATTCAAACTGCAAACAGCAAATGCTTTTGTCCATAGAGGTATCAGAGAAAGCTGAGCTGACTTTTGCTACACTATTCTTTTCATCTGTGATTTGCTGAGTAACTAGGCCTCTGTAAGGGTATTGGAAGCTCAAGAGCACAAGACATTCTGCAGTCTGCTCTCCTTTCACAGACTAGAAGTGTCAGTTCCATCTCTCTGTAGCAAGTTCTTCCTAACACACAGTACTAAACAGCATTCCAGCACTAGAAAACACTCAGCTCCTCACAAAAAAAGCAAAGCCACTAAACTACAGCTCTCAACCTGCTCCACACCCTCCTACACCACTGCTCCAAAGCCAGCTGAGGTGCCCACTACCTGATGTTGTGGCACCAGTGGTGGGAAGAGTGTCACACTCTCAGTGACACGCTCAGTCACACTCTTCCCAGTGCCACTGGGCTGAGGCAGCCAGACCAGATACTCACATCAACAGCTCCACCAGTCGCCGGCACACTCCCGAGTCAATAACTGCTTGAATCTTCTCATTGGGACCATCTGATAAGTAGGAAAGAGCCCAGCACGCATCTGCCAGCAGGTCAGAGTCACTGTTGAACAGCAATCTGGACAACACTGGCAGGCAGGGAGACACCTACAACAAGAGCCACCAGCCCAGGTTAGTCACGTTCTGCCCAGGACCACATCTGCTCGCAAGCACCGTGTGGCTGTGCTGGCTGCCAAGATAACAAGCCTTGGATGTCCACAGTTTCCTTCCCCAAAGCCAGCAGCTTCCTTGCTGGTTCACATACCTCATAATCACAGTGTCTGAAGCTCCCTCAGCAGCTTTATTGCTAAACTGAAATTACATCTCTTCGTCTTGGGCTAAGTCTAGACTCCTGAGACAAGTGCTGCTGAGCATGCTACCGTTTGGAAGCTCCTTATGTGTCTTATGTAAGAGCACTGCTCCATTTCTTACTCTTAATAACCCTAAATAGCTCAGGATTCAGAGCAGCAGCCATCAACTGTTATACCTCTGAATACTTCAATCGTTTACAAGTGGTTTTACATTCACACTCAATTCAGATTTCATCCCTCGGGCTTGTCAGCTTTGACACACAAGCTTTCATTTTAAAAAAGTGAAACACATAGATCTTAAACCATATTTGTTCCCCCACAGAAGGCTGAGATACCCAAAAGACCAGCAGATCCTTTTGTCAGTACCAGTAGCCCACCAGTATAGAGGAAAAAAAAGCTCCCCCAGCAACACAGGAGCTTTGTTTCCCAGTATTTAGGTCTTAGCATCAAGTTTTCAGTCACATTTTGAGTGAAGGCTCAAAATTCCAGAGTCCATAACCAAAGTGTTTACAGAAGCCCACAGCACAGAGTACCTTGCTGGGAAGCCTGGGCTCATCTATTGCTTGAGGGGTCCAGCTGCCAACAGAGCTGGGCAGAAAGGTTGGCAGAAAATTAAACAGGCACTCAACATCTGCTTTTTTTTTAGCAGGAAGAACCTCACCCTGTTCCCTCCTGGAACGACTTGCACAAGTCCAACAGCCAAAAATAACTTAGACAAGCATCCTCATTGGGTGTCTCCCCATCACCTGCCTGCCAACAAGGCATTTATTCTCACCTTATCAAATTCAGGTGGTGGACTCTTTCCTCTGCACAAGTTTGACAGGGCCCAAACAGCATTTCGTGTCATTGTCAGCCTGGTGGACTTCGTAAGGAGCCTAAAGAGACAATTACCATCAATTATAATCCTTCATGTGGAAGCCAGCAAAGAAATCAAAAGAAGATAAACCAGTCTGATATTAAGGAAGTCAAACCACTATTCCACTTGCTGTAGCTCCAGCCGTGCTGCTTGTCACGTGAGCCTCTCAATAAGCAAGGAGAGGAATGACACTCAACTATTTCTTAGGATAAACAGCTATTACTCCTAACAATGTCAAGTGACACAGGTCAGGAAGGCAAGTGCCAAATGAGACAAGTGGCAAAAGGAAGGGCAAGTTAGTCAAAGAGAGTTCCAAGTTCAGATTCAGCCCAGGCAGACACTCACACCCCTATCTGAGGTCGGATGGTCCTCACTGGAGACCAGCTGACACAAAGTCCTGCCTCTCAACTCTAACAAGGACAACAAGTCCTGTGGGCTGAGGACTCCACTCAGCAATCCCTGCTGACAGGTGGCTGACAGAAGCAGCAGCATAACAAGCCAAGTCTCCTGTGACAAAGCATCAGTTTGGCAGGGACAGGGTAAAGCAAAGCTGAACTCTCTCAGGGTGGTGAGAGCACACGCCTGGCAGGCAGATCTGACTCTGCCAGGTGCACACCACGCTTCAGAGGCAAGGGTGGTGTCCAGAGACCTGCTCCCTGTCCTCAGGCCTAGAGGAGCCCACTCAGAGAAGCCCCTGACATCACAGCACAAGCACAGCGAGCAGGCATCTGGAGGAACACAGTGACAGAGCAGAGCCCTGGGGCTTCAGACAGACAAGCACACTGCAACAGCAGCCACTGCAGATCCAGAGCAGGGGAAAGCTTTGTGAGAAGGCATGTTATCTACCAAGTCCCACTCTGTCAGATACTGCTTTATCTGGTACCAATGGTTTGATTCCCAGTGAACATCACCACGCATGGCTGGGGAATCTCTTCTCCCAGCTCAGCTCTGCAGTGCAAGGGGACTTCAAGAAGAGTATTGGCAAGTATTCATGGCTACTCACATTAATAAGGGAGGAAGAATAGCGCAGTTAAGGACATAATCTCTACACACAGAGCTGTCTCCAGCAATGTTCCCCAATGCCCAGACAGCCTGAAAGGAAACAGCAACAGTTTTAGCATCCATGGCAGTTTCTGAACAGAGGAAGAAAAGAGTAGTGTGCTAGGAAAGCATTTTCCCATCATTTCAGGCAAACAATACTTCACTCTGTGTCTGAAGGCAGTTGTCAGACTGGTCACTCATTTTAAACACTGTGTTTTAACCCTGTGCAATTTGCTGTGGTTCTCCCCCCAACCCCACAGTAAGACGTGACCCTTACCTGTTCTTGAACATCCTCAAAGTCAGAGTTTAAGAGCTCTATAAATATAGGAACTGCCCCAGCCTCAATCACTATTTTTGTTTGTTGGGAAGTTCCTGATGCAATATTCGTCAGTGCCCACGCTGCTTCAAACTGAAACATGCAAATAAACAACAAAAGCATGCATAAAAATTCTGATTTAGCACAATGTCTGCCATTAAATTTTGGCTGTGTCTTTCCACTTCTACTAAAAAGACTGTGAGAGAAAAAGCACATAGCAGAACACCCCAATACTCAAAGGATTTCATTTTCTTGAGTGATATCTAGCCCACCCTCTCACCTGGCAAACACAAAGATGCCTTAAGTGAAGCTAACCAGCAAGCTCCCTGCTTTTGCTACTCATTCTCTGGTTTAAAAACCAGGTTTCCATGCAGTTCTTGAAAGTGAGCCCCTGTGACACAGGGCCCTCAGACAGAAGGCAGGAAGAGAGATGAAAGCAGTCATCAACTTGGATCCAACGCCATGTATGGAAGAATCTTTAACCCTTACAAAGTAACTGGAGTTATTACCAAGCTGGAAGGAATCTCAGGAAGCCATCTGGTCCATCCCTCTGCCCCACGGCAGGATCAGCACTACCCAAAGCAATTCTAAAACTCTCAGCCTGTACTTTAGAGCCTCCAATAATGGATTTTTTTCTTCACACAATTTCCCCTACATATTTATTCTGTGCCTCTACTAGCTCCTAATAGACACAGGAAGGCCAAATTCTCTTCTGCTCCAGCTGAACTGTTAATTTTTGCTACTGTTCTTCCAGCAATTTAATTTAGAACAATTTGTCATTCCCTTTTTTTGCCTAAACATTACAAGCTACCTTTGTCTTCTCCTACACATGATACAACCTGCATCTTTTGGGTTCAAGACATGACTTTTCTCAAATAGCAGCTGCTAAGCTGTGACAGTTAAACAGCCACATGCCACAAAGAATTCATAGCACAATCTCCTTTACCTGTAGTGTGCAATTTTCACTCCTTTTCAGGAATTCAACAAATCTGTCCACAACTCCGTGAGTGTTTATCACTTCATCTATGGGAGGATTTGGCTCTGAAATAGCAAGGCAGTGTCAGAACAGCACAGAGATCTAGTGGAGGGGGATAACATGCAGGAAGTGTTACTTGAGTTGTTAACTGAACAACCTTGGGTTGTATTGAACCCACAGGACAACTCTCCAGAGTGACTTTCTGAACAATTCAAACAACAGTAAACAATTAACAAAAGAAAGGCTCTGTCAGACCCTACAGGAGGGATGTGAGGAGTTTTTACCTTTAGAGAGTAACTTCCTGAACTTCTGAGTGGTTGCTAGCTGTAGATCAGGGTCATCAGAGAAAAGCATCTCTACCATCTCTCTTGTGATCACTCCCTCCTGCAAAGATCCAAAAGAGACAGAACAATGGGTCCATTTCACACTAAGATCATTTAAGGCATCAGTCATGACAGCCTGTCACAATTTTGTGCTTAGCTAGTAACCCAAAGATTCACAGTTTGAGATTACAGCACACTATTTACTTCCTGCTAGACCTCTCCAGTTCACTGTAGTGATGTTTCTCACTTTTGAGAATGTTGCCAAACAAAACCATTGAAGTTTGTCAGCTCTACACAGCCCACAGCATTAAATCCATCTAGAAGGCACGACTGCACCAAGGAAAAGCACCTTACCCCACACGTTGTGGAGCTAACATAGGAGTCCACAAGGAGATTATCAAACATGGAGGCATCTTCATTGATCAACTCCACATTTCTTCTTTTAAAGAGCTGGAAGGGAACAAAATGCAGGAGTCATTATTAGAAAGCAACAATGAGCACTCTTTGTAACTAGACATTCCTGTTCCTCAGGCCAGCTACCAGCAGCCAGACTGAACACAGCCTGGATAGAGAAGCAGTCATTGGTAACAGCTCTGTGCTCTGCAGACAGAGTTTGGCTTTCAAACCTCAACAATGAAACGTGCTAAGTCTTGCCCTCAGATATTCAAATGCCCAGATCACTGAGGCACTGGTACTGGCAAGAGTAGAATTTGACCTAACAAGTTTGGGAAAGGGGAGAAGGCAGCTCGTGGATGGTGCACTAGCAGAGCAAACATTCAGTCTGAGCTGCACATATCACCTGAGAGGATCACTTCTTACTTCCACAGACCTCCAAGGCAGAAAAACCACCCAGCTCAGAACTAAGAAACACACGCAGCTCATACATTCACCAGCTCTTCCTGCTTCTTGAGGAAATAACCTCATAAAATAAAACAACCAAAAAAAAAACCAACCAAAAAACAAAAAACAAACACTTTTAAAACACTTTTAAAAGCAAGGATCTGTGAACAAACACCTCCAGTACCCCAAGGACAAAGTGCTTGGGGAGCTCCTGATGCGAGCTACGCTCTGTACCAGGTACAAAGACAAAGAGAGAAGCAAGATCTTGGTTAGAAGAGGAAAAAATAAGAGGACTGCCAACGAACCTTAGTGCACAGATCCTTGAAGATTCCAGTTTGGCAGCAGCACAATCTTGGTTGTGTTAAGGCTGTACACAAGCTAGTCAAGGTGACAGTTACCTGTTGCTCTCGCTTCTGTTTGCGCAGCTGAATCCCTTCCTCTTCTCTCCTCCGACGCATTTCCTCAGGATTTAGGGCTTTGTTCTTGTAGCTCTTCATTCTGTAGTTATCCTTTGCAGGACTCGCCATGGTTTCTAGCAAGAGGAAAAGAAATCTGCCTCAGATTTCTTGTCCCACCCTGCTCCTTCCCCCACATGTCCCTTCTGACAAGGAAGGTCACGCACAGGAAGAAGCTGGGAAGAGCCAGGTTAGACAGATTTAATTGCAACAGTTGATCTCAAACACTAAAGTAGAAGCTAGAATGTGATCTGACCATAGTTCATATGATAAGCTGTTAGAGCAAGAGTGTTAAGGAGTTTCTAGGAAGCATAAGAAGAAATTCACAGTTCCAGATGGAAACTGGGCCCAGCTTCACCATCTCAAGCACATCACCCATCCAAAAGGACTCTCCTCCAACACCTTCAGCACCCTCAGGAGCTGCACAATAAAATTCCACTTTGGTTTTCAGTGGAAACGATTCCCTTTGCACCACCCCAGCATCAACCACACCTTGACATCTTTTCCCCAGATGGAGAGGTTCACTGTGTACACACAGCAAGAGTCTGACAGAACTCCCAGCAAACCAAGGCCTTGATTCTCCAGAGAGAGCAGAAAGCCAGAGCTGACCCAACAGCCATGTCTGTCCCACCAGGTTACTGCAAGGGTTCAGTGCCTGACCTACTTATTTTGCTGCTTCATCTCTGACTAATGCAGTGCTTCAAACTTGATTCCTTGTGTGTTTGCCTCCTAGTCAGGGAAGTGACACTCCACTACTTGGCACAGTTGGAGGCAAGCAGGGCCAGGCAGTAACCCAAGCACAGGAGGATCTCAATTCCCCAGCTGCATCCAGCTGAAACCCACTGCTCTGACCACACCAGCTCCTTTCTGCATCTTTACAAACTCTCACCCAATTATAACACAGATTATTTGCTTCACATCTGTGCCTTCCTCAGGGTGGGAAGGAAGCAATCATGATACACACCATCAATTAAACTTAAGACCAACTGATTCTTCTCCAGAAGTCTGCTGGACACCAATATCTTTGATTTCTTCCAATGGCTAAGGTCAGGTGGAAGTGTCCAGTGAAAGTTTGCAGAACTGTCTCTTCATCCCTCCTCTTTCAAGCTTTAAACACTCCTCAGTCAACTGCTTACAGAAAGTTTCAGCTCAGCTTATCAACTGCCTCCAGCCATCCTGGAGCCTTTCCAAGATCAGCTGGAGAAGTTTCAGACTTTACTGCCCTCCTACTAGGAAAGCCTACAGCCAAGCCAAGAAAAAACATACAACTTAAAATATCCAAAATTTCATTGCTATGGAAAGAGGAAACAACTGGAAAAAAGCATTTTTTAACAGGAGAGGAAACAAAATACTTCCAGTTCTGTGATTTCCCCAAAACAGCTAAAAAAAAAATCAGACTATTTCTCAGCATCTGCTTTCTGAGAGGGTGTTCTCTTCCCTGGCCAAAACAGCAAGAAAACAGAATTCTTCTGAAAAACAACAAATAAACAAAAACCCCACCAGAGCCCAAGTTCCTCAGGTCATTCACACTGTAACAGAGATGATGTTCCTGGCAAACAGCCCTGACCCCACACTGCCCAGAGCCACAGAACAGCTCTGGAGCTCAGCACCCAACAGCTGCACCCAGAGACACCACCAGGCTTGAAGAGGAGCAGCACGAGGTCTTCCAAGTTTACTGGCACCTCTGAAGCCTTTCAGCTCAGAGAAACCACTGACCACAAGTCGTTGTTGGTGGGGGCAGTGTGCCAGTGCTGGGTTAGAAAACCTTCTCCAGTAACTTGCTTAGGGCAGAGAATGCAGCCAGAAGTTATAAGAAAAAGGTGCTGAGCACCACTAAGGCAAAGGCACAAACCCTCAAAACTTATTGTAGGGCTGGAGCAGTCAAATGACAGAAAGTCTTGCAAGAACTTGAGCCTTACATAAGTTTACCTTTAGACCTTTTCCAAAGTTGCCCATTTTATAAGGTCTGTCCTCAAAGCAACTCAGAACACAGCAGCTGGGCTCTATCTTGCTGACAGCCTCTCTCTGAAGCCTTCATTAAACCATCAATTATTTTTTCCTGAGTTTATTTCTCACGAGTCAGAGGTTGAAAGATATTTGACAACCCTTCCCTCATTCTAAAAGACCATTTTACACAGCAAAAAAGCAGAGACTGCTACTCACAGGAGCTCTGCAACTGCTCTCACTCATCCACCCCTCTCCCCAGCAGCACTGAATGCCAAGAATGAAGGGAAGAATTTGATTATTACTTTCTACTGAAAAGCAGCCAATTCAGAAGGCAGAACTTTAAAAGATCTACAAGCTTTAGGGGTTTATATCTGATCTTACAGTAGCAAGGTGTGTCATAGACATAGATTTTAATTCATTTTATTTAACTACCACTGATGTTGGTGTATTTATACCAGTACTGCCATGCTAGTGGCTAACACAGCCACACAGAAGAGTGAGAGTTGTTAGCTTCATTTTGAAGCTTACAACAGAATCCTCAACAAACCCAAGTTTGCTACCTCCCTTTGGAAGGCAAAATCTCCAATTAAAAGGTAATTTTTTAAGAAAAGGAGGAGGGGAAAGTGATTAAGTGACTTAACACTATACTCAGAATTACCAGCCAGTGAGTCATATAAATAGCTAAGGGCCACATGATGGTTCAGCTGCCTCCAAACTTGCACAACCCCACTGAGCTGGGCACACCCTGGACCCTGCTCTGGGTGTCCAGAAGACAGCCTGGGACTCTCAGCCACACTGTGAGGTGCTGGAGCACACCCAGCACCCTGTAGTTCAGGGCTTTGTATTTCCAAAGCATCAAGCCCACCACCCTACTGCAGGGAGCCCCAAAGGCACAGGCAGCCTGTGAGGAGTGATTTTTTCAGGTTGGCTGTCTAACAGCCCATTGCTGTGCAACAGTCTCTCTGGCACCAAATTTCCTATTTCCTCCAGCACACCTTCAGCTTTTCAGGTGCTTTGCAGTGACTTTCTCCAGCCCACCCTCTGTGTCAACACCTCAATGCTGTCAGAATACTCACTTGTTACCTTCTGCCCCGTTTCTGTGGCACTTGGTGAACACCACACATGCAGGGTTACAACTTCTCAGTGAGCTCAGCAGCTGCTGCAGGCACTACAGACTGCAGCAAGCCCAAACACGTGGAGGAAAACAGACAGCAGGATGCCAGGCACATACAAATCCCTCACTTGTAGTGTTTTGGTACGAAGCAGCTCCTCCAGTGTATCTGTGTGGCAGGTTTTGGCAGTGTTAATTCCAGTTCTGTGTGGCTATCCCCAGAGCAATCCCACTGCATCAGCCTGTGGAGTAGCTGGGGCTAGGGAGAGCCATCATCTGCTCCCATGTGATACTCCAGCCTCTGATTTGTCACTCTGCATCTCAGCGTGGCTGCTCTGAGGAGTTTTGCTTGTCCAGAACAGCTCTCACCTGTGCAGTGCCAAGGGAAGATAAACTACAGCAAGTTTCTTTACCTGCTCTCAAGTTTTAGCTGCTGCATTTCAGCAGCCACCTCTGGGAAACATCCCAGGAGGACAGCACCTCACACTGCACCTCTCCTAGGAAATGTTTTTCTTCAAGAGCAAGCAAACCCTGCCTGAAATGAAGATAGGATCAGTGCACGCCCTGGAATTACAACACTGTTCCTCTGCTGTTCCAGCCAGCACTCTGGGGCTCCAAGCTTACCTGCAGCACTCCAAAGAAGCTGGGCAACAAGGCTCCTTCCTCCCACACCCCAGCAGCTCCCCTGGAGCTGCCCGTGCAGCCTGCAGCTGCTCCAGGCACCCCCTTTTTTTTTTCCTCCTGAGACCACACCAAACATACTGCACTCCAGATAAACCCTTCTGGCCGTGCCTGCAGCCTGCCCACCACTTATCTCTCCCCCAAAGCCACCCTGCAACTGCCCTCCTGGCACAACAGGTACAGGGCCCCATTTCTGTGCTGGGGAAAGGCTGGAGGCACCCAAGTGCAGGTGCCTGGGCTCCTGTGCTTGTGCCCATCTAACAACCTGCTGAGTGAAGAGGACGGGCTGACTGCACCTCCTCCAAACAGCTCCCTGCAGAGCAATGCCAGAGGCACATGCAGGAGCTTGGATAACGTGGCCACAAGCCCAGCATCACCCCCTCACAACAGGCACAGACCTGAGTCTCCCCCCAGAGCTGCTCAGGCACTGAGCTGAGCTCAGCCCTGCCTGCCCAGGTGCCTGTGTGGGAGCAGGACTGTCAGGTAAGGGCCAGAGCTCACCCTGTTCTACTGGGATATCACCACAGCATGAATATGTTGCTAGAAAAGAAAGGGAAACAAGAAGAATTAGGACAGGATTAGAATGAGGCAGCTCCTCACCAGTGGAGACAGTAACACAGCTTTTCCAAAGCAGCAAAAGCCAGCCCAGCTGGTCAGGCTTCAGGCCCTTGCACACACTCCATTCCCACCACCTTCACCTCCCTGCTGCAAGACACAACCTAGTTTTCTAGGAACCTGGTTTCCTCTGAGTTCAGCATTCCTTGGATTCCCCTGGAGCAACACAACATCCACCCTTTCCTTTTCCACTGCTCAGTTAGAACCATGGACTGGAATTCCCTCTGAAGTGTCCAGTTCCTCAGCAGTATCTCACCATTCCTGGGTGCAGATGGACTTGGTGTTGCACCACCCTTCCCTCAACTTCTTCAAGTCCACTTCACCCTCCCTGAGGAAGGTGAATTAAAGTTAAAAACTGAAACAGAATTAAAAGCTGCAAGGCAGAAGCTTGTATTGTGTTAAAAACCTGAGCCTGCAGAGCTTTCAGGCCACTCCTCCTCAACACCTCTGCAGACCAAACAGCTCCACAAGCCCATAACAGTTTTAATGCTCCTTCCAAAGACAAAGAGCACTTTAGGATCTGCTGTTTACACCAAAACCTCACAGAGTTCACTCAAGAAAACAATGAACTCCCACTTACAAGACTGACTCCACTGCAAACAGTGTTCTGCCTGAGCTTGGACAGAACATCACTTCTGCTCAAGGACTCCCCAGGCCCCACAGTTCCCTCAGCCAGCACCTCCTGCAGCCAAAGTGCCTCCCTGTGCTAATGAACTTC